AATTACTGGTATTTTTATTTCTTCGGTAAAATCATCATCCATGTTTACATTGGTTCATAAGTGCATAGACAGTACTGTACCGTGATGTGTATATAAAGTTTGGTAGGGTTTGGTTAGGTTAGGTAGGTTTGGTTTCGTTAAGTAGGTTTGGTTAGGAAGGTTTGGTTTGGTTAGGAAGATTTAGTAATGTAGGTTTGGTTAGGCCAGCTTTGGTTTGGTTAGTTAAGCTTAGGTTAGGTAGGTTTTGGAATGGTTACTGGTAAAAGCATTTGTCGATTGAAGAAGCGTTAATGTTGCTTTCTCGGGCCCACGGACTTTATTTACTCTTAACAGAATCTATGGAAATACAAAATTGAAATTACTCCTTTTTTTTTAAGGAGAATTTTCTGGAGGTTTAGAATAAATTTTTCTTTTATCAATTTTGTTCACATAGTTGTTGGTTATGATATTATCGGTGTTGTAGAGTATTACCAAGGTGAGTTTTGTTCGGTGTAACTTCTCTCCCCATATGTTCCGCTAGATGGAGGTTTTACATGTAATGAACCCTTGATATAAGAACATAAGAAAATAAGGAGTCTGCAATAGGCCGGTTGGCCTGTGCATGGCAGCTCTTGTCGAGAGTTACTACCACACTCTATCATCCATGAATATATCTAGCCTCCTTTTAAAACTCTCCAGCGTTCCAGCACTTACCACAAAGTTGTTAAGCTTGTTCCACTCGTCCACCACCCTATTTGTGAACCACTTCCTTCCTATCTCCCTCCTAAACCTAAACTTATCCAACTTAAATCCGCCAGGAGTGATAGTGATTCACCAGAGGGCCACTAATCTGCCCTCTGCCTTGGAACCAGCCGCCATCCCCGTGTGCCGACCCATCTCTTCTACTAACGTAAGTGTTAAACACCTTTATTCTGTATTTGTACAGTAGTGTAGTTTTTTATTTAGATATTATGTGTGTGTTAATACCATCATAAAATTGTGATGTTATTTTTACTACAAGGCACATACTGTCGGAAAAAGTGGAGTTTGGGAGTCGGCCCAGTCTCTATTTCAATTAATCCTATATGTTCTGTTATTCCGTTTACGCGTTTCTCGTTTTACACGGACCTCCACAGGTTCAATTGACCGCGTAAATGCAGACTGTACTGTATAGGTACTCCTGAGCATGACGAATCCGAATCTAGTATCGACAGTTCGATTGCGGAATAATTAGTGGTCGTAATGACGCTTGGAATAATTTAATGACATTTTTCTCACTACTTATATCAGTAATTTGCCAACTATTTGTTTCCAAGGTGATTGGTTGGCGTTTTTATGTCTTCTGGTATTATAAGTATATCCTGTTCCATCTTTATTCTTGGAACACTTTATGAACACAGAATAATGCTCCTTGTCACGAGAGACAGACACAGATAGAGACATAAAACCTGAACCAAAATAATATCTAATAAATTCGAGACATTCAGAACAAGATGGTGACAAGCGACATAGGTTTAACAATATTAAAGAAAAATAAATAGTGCAATAAACAGACTTAAAGCCACTATGTCTCTTATCCTGGTGTTGCACTGAACCGACTCCAACATGGCTGGTGGGAAAAAAAACACAAAATAGTCAATTATCACATTTTTAATGATTTTTTTTTGGTACAGATGAAGCCTCTGTATAAAGCTATAATTCTGTCTCTATAATGCGTACTGTTTATATTCAGTAATCACAGATCAGATTATTCCTGTTTATATATCATATGATGGGATACACATGTTATTTAGCCGAATTTGGGATTCATTTTCTGATGTTTAATAGAGATTTGTTGTGTTTTCGTATATATTGTGTGTATGTTTTTTGTGCATATTGTATATGTGTGCTTGTATATAATATATATATATATATATATATATATATATATATATATATATATATATATTATATATATATATATATATATATATATATATATATATATATATATATATATATATATATATATATATATATATATATATATATATATATATATATATATATATATATATATATATATATATATATATATATTGTGTAAGCATCTCCAAATAATCAGTATCAGTAATACGTGAAATATTTTTAACACAACAAAGTGTACACCTTGATCCTCTAGTACTCATTAAATAAATATTTAACACCTTGAGTACGATAATTTAACATCTTGAGTACGGTTTTTTAACCCCGTGAGTACGATAACTTAGCCTCTTGAGTACGATTATTTAGCCTCTTGAATACGATTATTTAGCCTCTTGAATACGATTATTTAGCCTCTTGAATACGATTATTTAGCCTCTTGAATACGATTATTTAGCCTCTTGAGTACGGTTACTTAACCCCTTGAGTATGATAACTTAGCCTGTTGAGTTTGATTATTTAACCTCTTGAATACTATTATTTATCCCCTTGAATACGATGAATTAATCCCTTGAGTACGATGTCTTGACACTTAAGAGCTCAAAGGGTTATCTTACTGTGTGAAATAAATCATTATCATCAAAGGGTTAAGCACCTACTGGATACAACAGAAGTCACACACCTTGAAAGACACTATTGTAAGCATTCACAGTCCTGGTACATGACACTATGAGAGATTGTCTATGTTTTTTGCCCATAATTAGGTTCATCGCCCCCCAAAAAAGTATCCTTACTTTTATGCAAAACAATATGACACAATGGATGAAAGATTTTAACAACCCTAAGGAGATAACAAGAGTCACAGTGTTCATTTTGAAGTTCATCGATCATCCAGGGGAAAGATATTTTGTTGGGGTGAGTTATACATTGGAGTTGATGATGTAAACACAGACTTACCGTCACTAAGCATACAACATAAGAACAGTAATGGAAACTATATGTATTTTGCTGCACTGTTTTATATCCATCCTTACCGTGACCCTCCATCTACCTACTCACTGTGCACGTAAAGCAGTGTAGGTGAGCGTGAGTCATGAATATGTTGGTAACCACAGTGGAAAATGAAAAGGTGAAAGGGCTTGGGAATTTCACGAAGGCACTTGGGAACGTCACTTAAGAGCTTGGGAACTTCATTTAAGAGCTTGGGAACTTTATGAAGGCGCTTGGGAACTTAGTGTTTTTTTCCTTTGTGGTTCTCAACATATACTAGCCAATGTATGTAAAAATAGCTATAGTCCAGCATCTAAATAATTAATCTTTTTTAATTTACAACTTTAACGGGTTATTACAACTTGCGGTAAGAAAGGGATTAAGGTGATATTTCAGAGTGGTTAAAGGTGACAGGTTAGTGTGTTTAAACCCCTTGTGTGTACAGGAGACATTAATAGTGTGTATGTGTGTACAGGAGACATTAATAGTGTGTATGTGTGTACAGGAGACATTAATAGTGTCCATGTGTGTACAGGAGACATTAATAGTGTATATGTGTGTACAGGAGACGTTAACAGTATTACATATAAACCCATGCTTAACGTCTCCTGTACACACATACACACACTTTGAATCACTCTTGACTTTCATACACACACAAGCTCAAAAAAATGCCTATCACCTTTGGATCAATGAAATAACTCCTTACAGTGAATACCATTGGTCTACTCTCCCTCCTTCTTATGGGAAACAATATACTAGAATATGAAGCCACTACGGGTATAATATAAGTATAGTATTAGCCTCCTATATGGTTCAAGCCTCTTTAGAAAGTAACTAGGACAACATTGAGGACAGAACAAGCGAGAGAGTAGTTCTGATGCGAGATTTGTTTACCATTATTATTTATGTCTTTTATTTATTTATTTATTTTTGTATTTTTTTGTCGCTTGTCTAGTTCTCGCTGTATTATATTTGACATTTAATCTCAGATAATTTTTTTTTCTTCTCATGTTTTAATTTTTTTATTTATTTTTTTTTTACTTTTCCTCAACCTATGAGAGGGATAAGGTGTGTGTGTGTGTGTGTTAAGATGGAGGATCTTTGCTTGCTTCACTGTCTGTCTGTCTGTCTGTCTGTGTTAGGCTGGGAGACCTTAGCTTGCCTTAGTGTTTCTGTCTGTCTGTCTGTCTGTGTTAGGCTGGGAGACCTTAGCTGTTTTAGTGTTTCTGTCTGTCTGTCTGTTCTCTGTGTTAGGCTGGGAGACCTTAGCTTGCCTTAGTGTTTCTGTCTGTCTGTCTGTCTGTGGGCTGGAGACCTAGCTTGCTTAGTGTTTCTGTCTGTCTGCTCTGTGTTAGGCTGGGAGACCTTAGCTTGCCTTTAGTGTTTCCTGTCTGTCTGTCTGTCTGTGTTAGGCTGGGGAGACCTTAGCTTGCTTAGTGTTTCTGTCTGTCTGTCCGTCTGTGTTAGGCTGGGAGACCTTAGCTTGCCTTTAGTGTTTCTGTCTGTCTGTCTGTTTAGGCTGGGGACCTTAGCTTGCCTTAGTGTTTCTGTCTGTCTGTCTGTCTGTAGAGGCTGGGAGACCTTAGCTTGCTTTTAGTGTTTCTGTCTGTCTGTCTGTCTGTGTTAGGCTGGGAGACCTTAGCTTGCCTTAGTGTTTCTGTCTGTCTGTCTGTCTGTGTTAGGCTGGGGGACCTTAGCTTGCCTTAGTGTTTCTGTCTGTCTGTCTGTCTGTGTTAGGCTGGGAGACCTTAGATTGCTTTAGTGTTTCTGTCTGCTTCGTGTTAGGCTGGAGACCACTTAGTGTTTCTGTCGTCTGTCTGTCTGTGTTAGGCTGGGAGACCTTAGCTTGCTTATGTTTCTGTCTGTCTGTCTGTCTTGTTAGGCTGGAGACCTTAGCTTGCTTAGTGTTTTGTCTGTCTGTCTGTCTGTGTTAGGTGGGGACCTTAGCTTCTAGTGTTTCTGTCTGTCTGTCTGTCTGTGTTAGGCTGTTCTGTCTGTCTGTCTGTGTTAGCTGGGAGACCTTAGCTTGCCTTAGTGTTTCTGTCTGTGGCTGGGAGACCTTAGCTGCTTAGTGTTTCTGTCTGTCTGTCTGCCGTCTGTCTGTCTGTGTTAGGCTGGAGACCTTAGCTTGCCTTAGTGTTTCGTTCGTCTGTCTGTCTGTGTTAGGCTGGGAGACCTTAGCTTGCTTTAGTGTTTCTGTCTGTCTGTCTGTCTGTCTGTATTAGCCTGGGGAACCTTAGCTCTCTTCAGTGACAGCCGCAGTGGGTGATGGTGGTGAGAGAGCGGATGGAGCCGTCTGCTTGGTGTATCTCCATGTCTTTGGTGCTTGAGGGAGAACACCGGGAGTTTCTCTTGACCAGGGACATCATGCACCCTCCGCTAGTCTCTCTGGTGGTGGGGGAGAGACAGATGTGAGGAGAAACTGTTTTATGAAGATTATTACTTATATTCACTTTATATACACTTATAATTGAATAAACTCAATTATTAAATAGATATTACTACTAACATATTTTTATTATATATATATCACTCAATCTGGTGTGTGTGTGTGTGTGTGTACTAGCCCCTAAACACGAGTCTGTAAATCATATGGGTCTAGGAGATATTGTGTATTAATCTCTCTCACACACACACACACACACACACACACACACACACACACACACACTCTCTAAGGGGTGATGTCACTCACCTCAAGACACACTGGTCCTCCTGAACGATGTCACATTCGCCAGTACAGGTGCCGACGTCAATTACCTGTTGATAGTGAAATAGATTCTGGTTATAACGTACAATAACGTGACATCCATTGCTATAGTGTTTAAATGGACTAATTATATACCCTTGTGATGATTGACTGGTTTGGTTTGAACACTAGGGGGTCGTACTGAACCTCACCTGAACACTAGGGGTCGTACTGAACCTCACCTGAACACTGGGGGTCGTACTGAACCTCACCTGAACACTAGGGGGTCATACTGAACCTCACCTGAACACTGGGGGTCGTACTGAACCTCACCTGAACACTAGGGTCGTACTGAACTCACCTGAACACTAGGGGTCATACTGAACCCCACCTGAACACTGGGGTCGTACTGAACCTCACCTGAACACTGGGGGTCGTACTGAACCTCACCTGAACACTGGGGGCTGCACTGAACCTCACCTGAACACTAGGGGTCGTACTGAACCTCACCTGAACACTGGGGGTCGTACTGAACCTCACCTGAACACTGGGGGTCGTACTGAACCTCACCTGAACACGGGGGCCGTACTGAACCTCACTGAACACTGGGGGTCGTACTGAACCTCACCAACACTAGAGGGGTCACTGAACCTCACCTGAACACTGGGGGTCGTACTGAACTCACCTGAACACTGGGGCGTACTGAACCTCACCTGAACACTGGGGGCTGCTGAACCTCACCTGAACACTGGGGGTCGTACTGAACCTCACCTGAACACTAGGGGTCATACTGAACCTCACCTGAACACTAGGGGGTCATACTGAACCTCACCTGAACACTAGGGGTCATACTGAACCTCACCTGAACACTGGGGGTCGTACTGAACCTCACCTGAACACTAGGGGTCGTACTGAACCTCACCTGAACACTAGGGGGTCGTACTGAACCTCACCTGAACACTAGGGGTCATACTGAACCTCACCTGAACACTGGGGGTCGTACTGAACCTCACCTGAACACTAGGGGTCGTACTGAACCTCACCTGAACACTAGATGGGTCATACTGAACCTCACCTGAACACTAGGGGTCATACTGAACCTCACCTGAACACTAGGGTGTACTGAACCTCACTGAACACTAGATGGGTCATACTGAACCTCACCTGAACACTGGGGGTCATACTGAACCTCACCTGAACACTAGATGGGTCGTACTGAACCTCACCTGAACACTAGGGGGTCGTACTGAACCTCACCTGAACACTAGGGGTCGTACTGAACCTCACCTGAACACTGGGGGTCATACTGAACCTCACCTGAACACTGGGGGTCGTACTGAACTCACCTGAACACTAGGATGGGTCATACTGAACCTCACCTGAACACTGGGGGGTCACTGAACCTCACCTGAACACTGGGGGTCGTACTGAACCTCACCTGAACACTAGATGGGTCGTACTGAACCTCACCTGAACACTAGATGGGTCGTACTGAACCTCACCTGAACACTGGGGGTCGTACTGAACCTCACCTGAACACTGGGGGTCATCTGAACCTCACCTGAACACTGGGGGTCGTACTGAACCTCACCTGAACACTGGGGGTCGTACTGAACCTCACCTGAACACGGGGGGTCATACTGAACCTCACCTGAACACTAGAGGGTCGTACTGAACCTCACCTGAACACTGAGGGGTCGTACTGAACCTCACCTGAACACTAGGGGTCATACTGAACCTCACTGAACACTGGGGGTCTACTGAACCTCACCTGAACACTAGATGGGTCATACTGAACCTCACCTGAACACTAGATGGGTCATACTGAACCTCACCTGAACACTAGGGGGTCTACTGAACCTCACCTGAACACTAGATGGGTCGTACTGAACCTCACCTGAACACTAGATGGGTCGTACTGAACCTCACCTGAACACTAGGGGTCGTACTGAACCTCACCTGAACACTAGGGGGTCATACTGAACCTCACCTGAACACTAGATGGGTCGTACTGAACACCTGAACACTCACCTGAACACTAGATGGGTCGTACTGAACCTCACCTGAACACTAGGGGTCGTACTGAACCTCACCTGAACACTGGGGTCGTCCTCGGTCGTGTAGTTATATACGTGTTGGTAGAGAGAGGCCCGGTAGCAAGACGACTGGCAGCCACACTCCTCCACGACCGACACACACTCAGCTCCTGCCGCGGATAGATAGATAGATAGATAGATAGATAGATAGAAGGTAGATAGATAGATACAGGTAGATAGATAGATACAGGTATATAGATAGATGCAGTCAAGTTTTTATATTATCCTAGAAGCAAATTAAATTGGCTGTTATGCCCCGCCCCCTGCTATACAGTCGTCCCTGAATGGTTAACTGTATAGAACCATCTAATTGGGTTGTTAATTTGTTTATATATAATATCCTGGGAATACTTTAGTGAAAATACCCATCATTAGAGTGTTTAATAATCAGGTGAATTGAGTGGTGGGTGTAGAAGGGAGGAGTGACGAATCTTCAGGTGATCCAAAATAGCTTCCTGTTCCACCTAGCCTTATAGAGCTTCCTGTTCCACCTAGCCTTATGATGTTATTCCTGGATCGAAGACACTTACCATTGGGACCTTCCACTGACACCGTCCTCGACTTGATAGCTTTACAACCCAGATCTGTAACGAGAATAACACACTCAGAATATATCGGTTTATAGACACACACACACACACACACACACACACACACACACACACCCTACACACACACACACACACACACACACACACACACACACACACACATACACTTCTAAATAGTTTATATAATTCAAAGTATTTAAGCTCTATTCTGTGTCTATCATGGCGCTTGAGGTCAGAAAGAAAACAAAATGTTAAAGATTTATCCTTACCGTGATAACAGTGACCCTGGCAGTGGCCGAGGTCAACTGTAGTCTGTAACGGTGTGCCTTTGTGGAGGGTGACGGGGCGTGGGTGATGGCGGCAGGAGTGGGGGCGTGGTTGACACTCACACGCCTCCGTCACCGTCACACTCACTACGCCCTCTGTGGTGACCAGCCTCTCTACCCGCCAAGCTGAGGCCGCACACATCTCCTCCTCCTCCCCCGGGCATGATTGTTGGCTCCGTCGTTGGCCAGAGTGTAGTAAGAACAACTGTAATACAAGGCAATACTTTGATGATTCGCTTGCTTATATAGACCCATACCTGTACTAATTAACTCGTAGACCCATACCTGTACTAATTAACTCATAGACCCATACCTGTACTAATTAACTCCTTGACCCATACCTGTACTAATTAACTCAGACCCATACCTGTACTAATTAACTCATAGACCCATACCTGTACTAATTAACTCATAGACCCATACCTGTACTAATTAACTCATAGAACCATACCTGTACTAATTAACTCATAGAACCATACCTGTACTAATTAACTCATAGACCCATACCTGTACCATCTAACTCATGTAGTCTATACTCTGTACTAATTAACTCATAGACCCACACCTGTACTAATTAACTCAGACCCACACCTGTACTAATTAACTCAGACCCATACCTGTACTAATTAACTCATAGACCCATACCTGTACTAATTAAATCCTTGATCCACACCTGTACTCATTGACCCACGAACAATTTTGACAAGCTTACCGAGACAACAGGAGTGTGTGTACAATAACAGTCCTAACTGCATGAAACACAATATTATTCCTTGACTCAATGCATAACCGTGACTACATCTGGTCAGTTGGTACCCCTGACTGGATACAAGCTTGGAGTTGTTTTAAGTAAGAGTTCGGTGTCACTCAATAAACTATCTGTACTCTGGGTGATCGATAAACCCCATAATGAACACTGTGACTCCTGTTGTCTCGGTAGGGTTGTCAAAATCCTTCATCCGTTGTGTCATATTTTTTCAACACAATTTTGTATAGATAGTTTTTTGGAGTGACTGTACACTCACACACACCCCAATAACGAATGACCATCAGAGAATGTGAGTAATTAGTGTGAATTATTGGGGTTAACTGGCAATTGTTTACGAGATACGGTTGTTACTTAGACTAAATTGACTACAAGACACTATTATCACATACCATTCGTGGGTCCATGTCAGGATTGTCCAAAAGGAGTCGCTCGAATTCGTTTCTCTTGAGTTGTTTCTTTTTGCCGCAGCGTCGAGGGCAGTGACCCACGTCCATCACGATCTCTTCACCTGTAACATCTGTCGACAGGTAAACAGGTGTGTCACAACTTATTACAGGTGTTAAATAAGGTGTTGTTTATATCCAGTGATGTCTCCTGTACGTACACTGTTAATGTCTCATGTGCACTGATACACACTAGTACCATGGTGTACACATATACACACACTAGTACCATGGTGTACACATATACACACACTAGTACCATGGTGTACACATATACACACACTAGTACCATGGTGTACACATATACACACACTAGTACCATGGTGTACACATATACACACACTAGTACCATGGTGTACACATATACACACACTAGTACCATGGTGTACACACATAGACTCAGAACTGTGTAATGTACGGTGTTGAAGTCTTCATATAAGAGTAAGGTTCCTCCACACAACACTTGGGTGACTTACTCTTCGCTGTTATTGGTTTAGAAGAACAGAGAGCCAGATGTTTATATTATATACTGTGTAGTGAGTACTGGAGGTGTAGTGAGAGGCTTGTGTACCTGAGACTCCAATGTGGTTCATGTTTGGTTCTCGCTGGCAGCAGGTGGTGTGGTCGCCCTCCTCTAGGGTCACATCCAGGTCCTCCTCCGCCTTCACCAGTCGTCCTATAATGAACCACAACAACTGTCATTAAGTAATGCTTTTATTTCTGTTGGTTTAAGACATATACTGAGAGGTGGTTGAGGAGACGAGAGCAACTTTAACCTAGTGGTCGTACCCCTGGCTGGTGGAGGCATCAGTGCCAGCAGGAACGTTGCTAACGCCAGCAAGATGGCGGAATATGTTGAAGCAGACATGTGTGAGGGCCGCTGGCAGGGTGAGGGAGGGAGCGAGCGAGTTTATCACTAATGCGCGAAGAGGGAGACGTGTCGTGGTGAGGTGGAGAGGGCACGCGTCGGGCCACGGGAGCAGAGCTACTGGAAGCTGGGACCCGCTGCTGCTCCTAATAATGAGGGAGGGAGCGGCGGAGAGGTAAGTGGGAGGTGCCACCCAATCCACCACCCACCTCCTGCCCACCCACATATTTCTTTAACGAGGCTATTGCTGTACAGTCATGCCCAGCTGGACCTATAATAACCCAGGGAGGCGAGCACTCACGCCCACAACCGTAAAATGAATGGAATCCACCAAGGTTCATTCATTGTGTGAGGAAGGGGGCATGGCAAGATAGTGCAGCAGCCAGGAGAAATAACGTGTCCGTCTGTGTGTTGTGATTAACCAGGTGGTGCGGGGAACAATGACTCGCCTCGCTCAGATATTGTGATACCGACCCGACACTTAGTACCTCGTCCAGCGCCCCACCTGCCTCCTCATGACTCACCTCTGGCCTCGTGACATCATCTTTATAAGTGGCTTCTACAGGAGGATCTTAAAATAGCCTCAGCTTGGTGTGACAGTAACTACAGCTTGGTGTGACAGTAACTACAGCTTGGTGTGACAGTAACTTCAGCTTGGTGTGACAGTAACTACAGCTTGGTGTGACAGTAACTACAGCTTGGTGTGACAGTAACCTCAGCTTGGTGTGACAGTAACCTCAGCTTGGTGTGACAGTAACCTCAGCTTGGAGTGACAGTAACCTCAGCTTGGTGTGACACAGGTGTTTTAATTGTTTGGAGTGAAAACAGTTTTATGTATTGTAAGTCATCAGTGCTTCCAATGTCCGTGTGAATGTTGAGAGATTTTGACTCAGTGTAGCTTGGCGAGGCATTTCTGTAACAAAGATCTCGATAGTGGGAACAGATGTCGTTCTTCGAGGCGCTAAACGGGATGTATCGTCTGAAGATTCCCGATTATTCACCAGTGTTTATTAATTCATCGTCTTACGGTAATCGTCTCTTTTCATGTTTTGCTGTTATCGTAAAAATATGGTAATCGTTGAATTAATACTGACTGACTGACACCTAGATGGCTCTCAGTGGGAACAAGCCACCCCCTCACCCCACCCTCTGTCCGCACCTGGAAGAAACTGGTATCCTTGAAGCCTTCCAGATGGCTTTCCCGGCATCCTTCCCCTCCTAGTATCCTACACAATATGGAGGATCGTTTCATAACACCTTAGGAGGAGTCAATTGGGGCCGCCACATCTGAAGTACCAACAATAACAGCCGCAGAGGACAGCACATAAAGCCAGTGGAACAAACCTATCATGGTGAAGATTGGTTCTGGCATGAGAGAGAGAGAGAGAGAGAGAGAGAGAGAGAGAGAGAGAGAGAGAGAGAGAGAGAGAGAGAGAGAGAGAGAGAGAGAGAGAGGAAAAAGAAAGTGAGATCCTCTGCAAACTGAGTTCTTCTTATGTTGCTGGACACGAGTATAAACACGACATTATACACCGGTTCCAATAGCAGTCCATCTACCAGTATTTGGGGCGCCCTGAGAAAAAGAATTTCCAGTAATTTGCATAAGTACAAGTTGTTTCCCTGTTTATAATTACTGTTTGTTAGTTGTGTATTCATGGTAGTTCAGGATGACGGCAGTACCAGGGAGTGAGAGTGTCTTTGGGTTTATATCGCCTTGGTTAGTGGCTTAGAGTCGTCTTAGAGCATCAATACGGCTTGTCTTGTGGTCCGCCTCACTGGGACATCATCTGCCTGATACACACTCCTACATTAGTTCTCTGAGGTGAGGTAGGGGGGAATATTCTTTCACTTGATCTGCTCTCTATGGCATCACTCACCACCATCTTACCTTTATAACGTGTGTGTGTGAGTAAACATTGTATTAGGAATTATTTTGGATGGTTAGTGTTTAATAATAAGAGGATCTGATATTAACAGGTTGCGGCGCTACACTCAACGCTGCCTAATAACATCTCGTGCATTGTCTGTTGTAATTATTTTTGCATCTGATTTTGAGAGAATATTTTTACATATTCGTTTTGCATTACAGTACAGTGAAACCTCCATATAACGAATCTCTCTCTCTCTCTCTCTCTCTGTCTCTCTCTCTCTCTCTCTCTCTCTCTCTCTCCATATATTCCGTTAGATGGAGGAATTCATATCTAATGGATTCTTGATATAACGGACTTAGATTTCTATATAGTTCGTTAGATGGAAGTTTCACATCTAACGAATCCTCTGTATAACGGAATTTTCTCTATATAGTCCGTAACTCTATATCTGGGCACCTGTTAAGTGCCTGAGTGTGTTGGTCATTAACGCTAAGTAAAGCAGCTCGTGATATCGTCTTGCAACCTTCCTCGTTCACTAGTCACCTAAAAGACCTTCCTCGTTCACTAGTCACCTAAAAGACCTTCCTCGTTCACTAGTCACCTAAAAGACCTTCCTCGTTCACTAGTCACCTAAAAGACCTTCCTCGTTCACTAGTCACCTAAAAACTCCTAAATCATCTTGACTACCTTTTTGATGTTCCTAACCTAACCTAACCACCAGTTCTATGTGAAATATAATAACATTTCTGTATTACATTCGGTCCTTCACTAAACTGTAAACGAAAGGAAATAACATGACATTATTTTGGTTTCCTCCCGACTGTGCGTTCCTCCCTGGCTTCCCGCTCTTCCTCCCGACTGTGCGTTCCTCCCTGGCTTCCCGCTCTTCCTCCCGACTGTATGTTTCTCCTAGCTTCCCGGCTTAGCGATTCCCATTCCTCCTTGTCTCAGTAGCTTCTCACTAATGTTGGAATAAATACGTTTCTGATGGCTTCTTCAATGGGGTAGAGGAAAGAGCCGATGTCGGGGATAGTGTGCATCAGGTAGCGATATTTGACTCCGTGGGTGAATGTCGCGTTTGGCTCAGTCTTAGCAATATCTGACAGAGCTTGGATTTCCTTTACCCATTCGTTTACCTTTCCAGCTACGTATTAAATCTTGAAATCATTCGTGTTGATTAACTGGACCGTTCTTTGTTATTTTGACCTCCCTCTTATTGACAACCTCTATAGCCCGGTCGTAGTTTTATTGATTACACCAGATACAGAATCGAGATGCCTTACAATAACTTAAATACAAACGGCAGTGGTCCGGGAATAGCGTCTTGCGGAACACCGTGGAGGGTACGAGCAAAGGATGAGATGGATGGTCAGTAAACGGGGGGTACGTATAACATTGGTAACTTATGTGAGGTCAAGGGGTGAGGCCGGAGTGTGTGTGTGTGTGTTTGGTGGGTGAGGCGGCTAGTGAATATGGTCTTTAAGTAGCGGTGTCTCTCCTTCTTTAAGCTGGGGTGTGGCTGTCCGTTCATATACTGCAGTACCTATCATGTCTCTCTCTCTCTCTCTCTCTCTCTCTCTCTCTCTCTTCCCAGATATAATAATAACACTGCTAGTATGTACACCAGACGGTACTGCATTAGGAACAAGATAAACTAGCAAGTGCTTTTGATAGGTGATGGGAAGGATGCTGGAGGGTGGTGATGGTGGTGATGGGGAGATTGTTGGAGGGTGGTGATGGGGTGGATGTTGAGGGTGGTGATGATGGTGTTGGGGGAGATTGTTGGAGGGGTGGTGATGGGGTGGATGTTGGAGGATGGTGATGGGGTGGATGTTGAGGATGGTGATGATGCAGGATGGGAAGGATGCTGGAGGGTGGTGAGCAGGTGATGGGGAGATTGTTGGTGTGGTGATGGTGGTGATGGGAGATTGTTGAGGGTGGTGATGGGGTGGATGTTGGAGGGTGGTGATGATGGTGATGAGGAGATTGTTGGAGGGTGGTGATGGGGTGGAAGTTGGAGGGTGGTGATGATGGTGATGGGGAGATTGTTGGAGGGTGATGATGGGGAGGCTAATTATGGGGTGCACAATAAACTTGCTGCTGTCCGCGGTAAAATTTAAGAAAAATAATCACTGTGTAGGGTTAAGGTTAGGCTTGCTTAGGTTAATGTTTAGTTAGGTTAAGGATAAGTTAGGTTAGGTTAAGGATAAGTTAGGTTAGTTAAGGATAAGTTAGGTTACTTTAGTTAAGGATAAGTTAGGTTGCTTTAGTTAAGGATAAGTTAGGTTACTTTAGTTAAGGATAAGTTAGGTTGCTTTAGTTAAGGATAAGTTAGGTAACTTTAGTTAAGGATAAGTTAGGTAACTTTAGTTCAGGATAAGTTAGGTTACTTTAGTTAAGGATAAGTTAGGTTACTTTAGTTAAGGATAAGTTAGGTTACTTTAGTTAAGGATAAGTTAGGTTGCTTTAGTTAAGGATAAGTTAGGTAACTTTAGTTAAGGATAAGTTAGGTAACTTTAGTTAAGGATAAGTTAGGTTACTTTAGTTAAGGATAAGTTAGGTTACTTTAGTTAAGGATAAGTTAGGTTACTTTAGTTCAGGATAAGTTAGGTTACTTTAGTTAAGGATAAGTTAGGTTACTTTAGTTAAGGATAAGTTAGGTTACTTTAGTTAAGGATAAGTTAGGTTACTTTAGTTAAGGATAAGTTAGGTTACTTTAGTTAAGGATAAGTTAGGTTACTTTAGTTAAGGATAAGTTAGGTTACTTTAGTTAAGGATAAGTTAGGTTACTTTAGTTAAGGATAAGTTAGGTTACTTTAGTTAAGGATAAGTTAGGTAACTTTAGTTAAGGATAAGTTAGGTTACTTTAGTTAAGGATAAGTTAGGTTACTTTAGTTAAGGATAAGTTAGGTTACTTTAGTTAAGGATAAGTTAGGTTACTTTAGTTAAGGATAAGTTAGGTTACTTTAGTTAAGGATAAGTTAGGTTACTTTAGTTAAGGATAAGTTAGGTTACTTTAGTTAAGGATAAGTTAGGTTACTTTAGTTAAGGATAAGTTAGGTTGCTTTAGTTAAGGATAAGTTAGGTTACTTTAGTTAAGGATAAGTTAGGTTACTTTAGTTAAGGATAAGTTAGGTTACTTTAGTTAAGGATAAGTTAGGTTACTTTAGTTAAGGATAAGTTAGGTTACTTTAGTTAAGGATAAGTTAGGTTACTTTAGTTAAGGATAAGTTAGGTTACTTTAGTTAAGGAT